AGCCTCTCTTTCGCGATAAGATTGCTGAATGATTTGTTATATTACTCGATTTAAAGCTGAATGTATCGCAAAAAAAAAAAAAAAAGACAAAGATATACATACATATGTCGAAAAATTTTAAACTAATCAGATAAAATGTTTTTCTTTTCTTTTTTTTTTTCTTTTTTGTTTTTTTCTCTTTTAAATAAATCAACGGTCTCATGATTTTTTATCCTTTTTTTTTTCTTCCTTATTTTTTCAGGATGCTTTGGAGCCAAAAGGATGGCACTCAAATTCCATACCGATGCAACATAAGTATGTACACATTTTTAAAATAAATCAGTATTCCTTCAAGGAAAACCAGTAACATATATATATATATAGAAAATATTTTTTAATGTTTTCTTTTTTTCATTCTTATATTATATTTCCTTTTTTTTTCATTTTTCTTTTCCTATTTATTTATTTATTTATTTATTTATTTATTTATTTATTTATTTATTAATTTAATTTTTTTTTTCTTTAACAGAAACCCACAAAAGAATAACCGGTCGAGTATTTATACGTTGGAGCTCGAAGAAAAGAAGAAAGGTATTCAAGAATACGACGATGATTACGAACCATACGACCATAGAACGGTGGCACATCCGACCACGTTAGTATCATACTAATTTATAATTTTTATGTAATTTTATAAAGACATTATATGTCTCTATGTAAATTAACAAATTATTTCACTTTTATTTTGAGACTTTTGTTTCTCTATTTGTTTTCTTTTTTTTGGTTTCGTCTACTATTCGTTTTTTTAACGATATTATTATAACATATTGTTTCTTTCAATATGTAATACATATTCATGTTCGTGGTATGTTTACATTGTTCGTTGTTATAGTTTAGAAAAGGATTTTATGAACGTAATAAAAAGTTTCCAAATAAATGATAGATCGTTAGATTAGCATAATCTATCTATTTTATACTCTTTGAATATTAAATATATATCTTATGCTAATATCTTGTAACGTATGGGCAATTATATAAATAAATAAATTTCTCAGATTTAATTGAAGATATATTTTGAATGTTTATTTTTAAAAAAACATTCTTAACGTTATGCATATGTACATATTTATACGGGAGAATGTCCCATTGAATTAATTTAATTGACGTTCTCCTTTTTGTTCGTTTGTTATTTTCTTTCTTTAATTTTATTCATACATCTTTGAAGTTGTAATCACTCATGGATTCTCTTCAGCAATCATAAAGAACATTGAAAATGTATACTTTAGATATTCCTTAGATTTGTATTTATATATATATATATATATATATATATATATATATATACATATCTAACAATTCTTGTTATGTTTAAAATATGGATTTCCATTATAAAAAAAAAAAAAAAAAAAAAGAAAAAAAAAGTAAAGGAAAGAAAAAAATTGTTACAACTCACAATTATATTTTTCAAAACGTAATACTCGTAATCTTAATAACTTTTATTTGAAACTTTTATTTCTTTATAAAACTAAGAGGATCGATTATATTAATCCATATCGTTTAAAATGAGACAATAGTTTCTATATCACGGATTTTTTTCTATTTAATAAATACGATTATTATATTTGTATTTTCAGAAATGTGGAGACTTTATTCCATCTATTAAAAGGTAGCTTAGGTACTGGTATTCTTGCAATGCCAATGGCCTTTCACAATTCGGGATACGTGTTAGGCATGATCGCTACAATAATTATAGGCCTACTTTGTACATATTGCATGCGAATACTCGTTACTTCGATGTATGATCTGTGTAAAAGAAAAAAAGTAGGATCCATGACTTATCCAGCGACCATTGAGGCTGCACTTGAGGAAGGACCGGTATGTTTGAGGCGGTTTTCGAAATTATCGATGTAAGTAATGTTAATCTTTATTATTATAATACGATTATTATATTTATATACATCGATCAATGTCGATTGTAAATCATTTTTCTAATATATTGTTGATATATTATTAATATATATATATATAATTATAAATATATAATATAAATATATAAATAAATAAATATATATATATATATAATATTTTGGACATTATTTGCATATATTTTTGTTTATGTATAATATATATTGGATATATTTAATTAATATATATTATATATTATATATTATATATTATATTATTTATATATTTCATATATAAATATATTTATGAAAATATTTAACAAATTTTATTTTCTCTCTCTCTCTCTCTCTCTCTCTCTTTATTTTACATATAAATATATATATAAATAAAAAAAATAAAAATAATAAATATATATATATATATATAAAAAAATAATAAGTTTCTTTTTTTTTTTTTTACAGACACGTAACAAACACTTTCCTTCTGATTTATCAACTGGGCAGCTGTTGTGTCTACGTCGTGTTCATTGCAAATAATTTGAAAAGGGTTAGTAATAAGATTATTTTCTCAAATATTATTATCGTTATAATATTTTATAAAAGATTTAACGTTGAAAATACGTACGTATTTATATTCTCGAGCTTATATATTCGAATGTTCCCGTCGATTAATATCGCCGTTAGAGAAAAGGACCAATCTAGGTCAGGGAAACAAACTTCAAGAATGGTATTGCGGATTAGACGTACGTTTTACGTAATTAATACTTATACGTATGAGTCAAGGTGATTGAATTTTTAAACGGGAACCTTTCAATTTTTAAAATTACGATAACCAAATATGGATACAATCAAAATAATAATTCGACTCGAAGAACTAATGAAATCGACATTTTTCTTGCGTTAGTATTAATTGCATTAACAAAAAGAGAATGTATGAGTTCAAGAACGTTACAGAAATCGATTACTTAACTCGAGACACTAACTTACGTTAGTTCTCTTTTTGAAATATCTTCGAAATAGTAAATTGAAAAGATTTTAAACGATTTTCTTTTCTCTCTTTTTTTTTTTGTTTCTTTTTTTTGTTTTCTATTCCTTTTCTATTCTTCTTCTTCTTCTCCTTTTTGTTTTTTTTTTGATTTTTTTTTTTTCCTTTTTTCTCAACCTTCGTTCAGTTAAATTTTTATACGTGTACAATATAACAAATCCTTTTCGATACGATCTATTTAACGAACAATGGGTTAGTTTTGTTCGTGCTACGGTTAAATGTAACATGCCATAAGTAGATAGGTGATATACGTAATATAATGGTACTATAGTTATCGTGCCGTTACGACACTAGTTATTACGACAAGTGAATAGAGAGCTTGCGGAAGGCAATGTGCTTGTCGTGTAAACCAGAATCTCGTCTCTCTTTAGTTGATTATACGTGATAAAACACGTGTATCCGTATAAGGATAAGTGAGGGAAGGGGGGGAGTGGAGAGGAATAGATACATAGATACATACATACATGAACATAAACACACATAACCATTTACATTATCCTCGATATCCTATCGATGATAAAAATCTAAAAGAGAATTGATTTTACACAAAAATAATAAGAAATATAGATAGAAAAAAAAAGAATCTATTTCATTCGTGGGATTCGTTTTTGAAAATTTTTAACTTTAATTATTTTGCATTTAATTATATTTTGATTGAATATTAATCTCTGTATAGATCGCATAATTGTTTATAAATAAGATATATAATAAATGAAAAAATTAATATTATGTATGAATATTATGTATGAATATGTACTGTGTATATAACATAGGACATATTCATTCACATTTTACACCATATACATACGTATGTATATATATGTATGTATGTATGTATGTATGTATGTATATATGTATTTCGTATATGATAGACCAATTAATGTTGCGACAGATTCGTAAAAAATTTTTCTTCACTTTTTCTTCGTTCCTCGTTCTTCGCATTTTTCCCTTAATTTCCCTTCATTTTTTTACTCGCGAAAGTTTTTGATATCGGGTTAATGCACCTGCAATTGATACGCATGTACTCTAACGGGCATCGGTATGCCCCTCACTCGGTTGTGTAACGTCCGTCGATCGGATCGTGGAAATATCTCTAACGTAACCTATTCCAAAGCCACGTACACGTTATCGTTTAAACGAGGAGATTAAGAAGAGAGTGAAAAAGAAAAAAAAAAAACAAAGATTCGTCTCTCAGATTAAACAAGATTCATGATTTAAAATATAATTTTACGTAATAAAATTCCTGAACAATATAAGATATATTTTATATCTTAATATAAAGACACAATTAACAATTTACTTACAAGTGCCATTTTATTTATTTCTTTCTTTCTCATTTACTTTTTATTTTATCTTCTTTCTCCATGTCAATTGTATCTTTTTTATTATCGGACGTAATTGAAAATATTTTTCTTCTTTTTCTCTTTTTTTCTTTTTTTTCTTCTTTTTTTTTTTAATTATACGCACGTATACATTTTTTTTTTTTTTTTAATATAGCGCCAGTTAATCGCAACAATGCTCTTTTGGATATTTAAGATATTATTCTTCTTTCTTTTCTTTTCTTTTTTTTTTTCTTTTTTTTTCTTTTTTTGGATTTTAATAAGTCATTCTCTCCCGTTTCTAGATCAGATCTAATTCCATTGTAAATTTCATCTAAGTATTTGCATACAAGTAGAATCGAGAAATAAATCAAGATAAAAGAATTGGCGCTCGTATTAGGGCGTACTCTCTCATATCGCGAGAATTTAATCTCAGTGGACTTATAACATAGTAAACAATTGCAAACTAAAAATATTATCTTAAGTGTTAAAGAACAGACTATTCTTTGCACAATGTATCTATTATATATTTTCTCACGTTTATTCATAGTCTATGAATTCCGTCGATTAATATCGTTGCACATACTTACATTGGTTTTCTATTGAAAAATAATATTTCAAGATTTTATTATTTTCAAGAAATTTTTTTCTTCGACATAAAATCAAAAAAAAGAGAGAGAGAGAAATAGAGAGAGAGAGAGAGGTATATAATGGTTTACATTATTTTAATCTTAATAGGATTAAGAATATTATATAATTAAAATATTAATCTTAATAATATTAAAATTGAAATAATATAATATAATATAATATAATATAATTGAAATCTTAAATCATAATATTATTTCATTTTAGTAATCTTAATTAATTGTCAATTATTTAAACGCAGTTTGCGTTTTAATGATTAATAGACATTAATTACGAATAGTGTTTGAACGTCGTTTAAACAGGTCGCATACATTCGCGATGAGTTTAACACTCTTTACATAATAGTATAATATACATATATACATGCACGTTAAAAAGGCACACCTGATTATAAATTAAAAACGGCCAAATCTAAACGATATTTGCCTTTGAGGTTGTACCAATTGTTTAGAATTTAGACGATAGGCAATATCAATTGGAAACATTGTGAATCAACGAATGTTAATCGTTTCTTTTCCAAGAAGCATAAACGAATGAAAATATATGTAGATACGTATGCATAAAAGAAGAAGAAGAAGAAGAAGAAGAAGAAGAAGAAGAAGAAGATGTATTACGAATTTAAAACTTGTTTTACGATGAAACATTCATCGAATTTCATTTCAATATTAATGAATGGGATCTATTAGATCTACGCATATGAGATTCTAATAGTTCTTTTATTTTCTTCTTTCTTTTATTTTTTTTTTTTTTCTTTTTCTTTTTTCCTTTTAGACGTTTCTTTCATGTCTCATTTTATAATGACACGCGCACACACGCACACACACACACATATATATATATATATATATAAAGCATGACAATTTTATAAAGGTATCATTGTTTTTTAATTCGCTATAATTTTGAAATCTTACGAGGATGATCTTCGATACAAGATCATATAAGATAATAAAAGTTGATCGCGCGCGAGAGGATTATCGTGTTTGAGATTTTAAAATATTTTTAAATCATAAATGAAATCATGCATTAAGGAATTTTATTATTATTATTATTATTATTATTATTATTCTTTTTTTTTTTTCTTTTTTCTTCGGATATATACGTTCGAGAAAGGAAACTGTAAAAAAAAAACAAGGTGTATGATAATACTCTACAATTATTTTTTTTCTTTTTTTCTTCTGTCCTTTTTTTTTTTTTGTTTCATCTTATATATATATATATATATATATATATATATATATATTTTTTTTTTTTTTTTCCTCTCGAGAGGAAATTGCTAGTATTGAAAGAAATCGTAAAATGATTTAGTATATAAAGAAATTTCACTCTTACGATCGTTAGAGCGAATTTATTCGAGTGTTAAAAAACGAACAAATAAAAAAAACGAAAAAGAAAAAGAAAGAAGGAAATGAAGAAAGAAAGGAAGAAAGATAGATAGAGTGATAATTAAAAAAGACTTCTCTTTGATATTTCCAATTTCGAATTATTCATCGTGCACGTAATCGTAATCAATGATTTACGAGAAACTACAAGACAGTAGATTTGACACGAATGAAAAGAAAAAATATCGAAATAATTAGTAAAAAGCCGTCTTTAAAATCGATTAATAAGATATTAACGTTTCATCGTATGTTATTTACATCCGCACATTTTTTTTCCTTTTTCTTTTTTTTTTTTTTACATATTCCCATTGAATCACATTGTTAGTTCAATCAATGATCTTTCGTAAATACAATTTGTTCTAATGTAAATTACGTAGACGGTACGCAGAGAAAAAATGAAATGCGTGAATAGATCATTAAATCGAATTAAAAATTTTCAAAATCATTCATATTCTAATAAGATCGAATAAAGATTGAAATTTATATTTGCAAATGAGAAACAAAAAGGAAATGAAAGAAACAAATTAGAAAAAACAATTAGGATATAACATGTATGTACGTATGTATATAATAATATTATATATCAATTAAGAAATATGTTATCCTAGTATTATGGTGTTATGCAATATGAAGGTTAGATGCGTCGATGAGAAATATTATGTGTCAAATGCGTATGAGCTCATTTCCGCTTGACCTTGAATTCAAGAAAACACATGGACATCTATTCCCGAACACTGACATTTGACTTTTAACGATACGACGTTATCGAATTTATCGTAATTTTCAATCGGTATTTTATTAATCCTCTTTTTCCTTTTCTTTTTTTTTTATCTTTGTTTTTTTTCTTTTTTTTTTTTTTTCTTTTTTACGTAAATCCAAGCATTGGAAGAGAGGGAAAAGAAAATAGAAAGAGGAGAGGCAGAGAGAGAGAGAGAGAGAGAGAGAGAGAGAGAGAGAGAGAAAAGGAGAGGGAGAACTTATCGTTGATTTACTTGGCGAACACGTAGTCATTTACTTTCTCTTTGAGAAATTATACGATAGATTGCTAACCGTGACGACTTTAGTTTCATTCATATTATATATTTCTCTCTCTCTCTCTCTCTCTCTCTCTCTCTCTCTCTTTCTCTCTTTCTCTTTCTCTCATTGTCTGTCTGTCTCTTTCCACTCATTTTTTTTTCTCCTTTGAACATGAATGCAATCATCTATGAACGTTTACCACTGTTAGATATACGTATGTACGTACGTATATATGTACATATATATTCGTTCATGTATATATGTATGTATGTATATATATATATATATATATATATATATATATATATGTGTGAGTTAGAGCAACGAGCAATTTCCACAGAATTTCCACACAATTTCCACATCCGACAGTAATTATCCAGTACTCGGGACAACGTGGCAAGCGTAAAGAGAAGGCCACCGCAATCGATTACGGTTGATTATAGTACTCGATGACTGTTAAAATGATTCTTCGAAAGTATGGAATCCGATAAATGTTTTATCCAAATGGAATTAATTGTTTCTTTATAATAAATTTTTTTTTCTTTTCTTCTTTGTTTTCTCTTCTTTCTTTCTTTCTTTCTTTTTTTTTTTTTTTTCTTTCTTTTTTTTAATCGCTATAAATTCGATCATTCAAATATCTAATGGCAATTAAATCTTTAATCGCGTATAAAGGATTTGCAATTTAAATGAATGTTGTTATCGTTATCGTTATCGCATTAATAACAGTGTCGTATTAATATTCAACGAATTATTTGATCAAATATATATATATATATATATATGTATATCTTAATTCGAACGATAATATTCGGGAGTTAAATTCATAAATTATTTCTGATCACTTGAATAAATAATATTTTAAAGATATTTGAATTCTTTCGTATGTATTTTGTAATAGATCATGTTGTTATCTTCAAATTCTCACGTGCATTATATAAATAAACAATTATGAGTAGTATATGATCGAATGCATTTAAAATGAACCTAATCATTTAATAGGTTCGTCATTCCGGTCAAAGTCACCTACACGTACCTGTGATTATGTACTTATGGTAATTTGCTTTTGTCTTTTCGCGGAATTGTATTTTTTTTCCCTGATATCGTAAAATGTTTTTCCTTTCTTTTCATTTTATTTTTTCCAGAATCTTAGAAATAAAAAAATGACGCTTACTTATTTTTCTCCTTTTTTTCTGTTTTTCTCATTTAGGCATTCGACAGTTTTCTTCCCGATCACGTCAAGATTTATATGACCGATAAAATATACATGGTACTTATACTGTTGCCATTGATATTTATCAATTGGATTAAAAATTTAAAATTTTTGGTACCCTGTTCAAAAGTTGCCACTGTCGCGACATTCGTCAGTTTTGGTATCATACTGTATTACATATTTAAGGATCCTTTATCCTTTGACGATCGTGAACCAGTTGGAAAGATTGAAAATTTTCCACTTTACTTTGGCACTGTATTATTTGCTCTGGAAGCTATAGGCGTGGTGAGTTATTTATTTAATCACGTTGCTATATGATTTTTAATTTTTTCTTTCTTTTCTTCTTTCTTTTTCTTTTTTTTTTTGGACAAAGAAATAATGAAAAAGAAAAAAAGAAAATAATAATTATAATAGATAAATAAATAAATAAATAAATAAATAAATGAATGAATTAATTAATTGATTGATTAATTATACAGATAATGCCATTGGAGAACGAGATGAAGACGCCTAGACATTTTACAGCTCCATGTGGTATTTTAAATATTGGTATGGGCGCCATCGTCATTTTATACGCCGGAATGGGATTTTGTGGATACATACGTTATGGTAGTGACATCAAAGGCAGCATCACCTTGAATCTTTCGTCTACGGAGGCATTAGCAAAAATTGTACAACTTCTTCTTGCATTGGCCATTTATTTCACCCAACCGATTCAATGTTATGTCGCGATCGATATAGTATGGAACGAGTATCTTAGTTCACGTTTAGAAAAAAATGCATACAGAAAGTTATGGGAATATCTTGTCAGGACTGGCCTTGTACTCATCACAGGTAAATTATGTACACACACATATATATATATATATATATTTGATTAATGATTATCAATAATAAAATTGATAATAAATGGAAGAAAGTTTTCTTTTTCTTTTTTTCTTTTCTTTAAATACGAATTAATTTAATAAGCAAATAAAAAGAAAAAAGAAAAAAAAATAGAAAACTATATTTAATATGTAATAACTTTTTTAAAATTATTATATATTATATATTATATATTATATATTATATATATATATATTATATATATATATATATAAAATGATTATATTATTATTATTACTTTTTCATTTTTTCTTTTTTTTACTTTTTAGCTCTATTGGCCATCGCAGTCCCAAGCTTAGAATATTTTATATCGCTATTCGGTGCCCTGTGTCTCTCAGCTCTTGGTTTAGGATTTCCTGCGATCATTCAACTCTGTACATGTTGGAAGGATGCCGATCGATCGACCAAGGCGTTCATGCTTATAAAAAATTTAATCATTGTTGCGATCGGAGTTATTGGTTTGGTCGTTGGAACTTATACGAGTTTACGAGAGATCTTCGAGAAGGTCATATTGAAGAGCACAAATTGATCGATCGATGATTAAGGGAGAAAAAGAAAAAAAAAAAAACAAAAAAAGAGAATTACTCATGAATGAAATTTGACTAGTGAGAGTATAACCGGAATGCTCTCAGTCACGGAGATAGTAACCGGGAATAAAATTGTGATATATATAATATATGTATGTATTTGTACAATCAAGAGGTTCGAATATGTATAATAATATTTTTTCCGTCGTGCAGGGATAAAACTAAAATTAACAACCACGTCGTAATATAGAATTTATGAAATTGATCATCGACCTGGACGGCAACAAGATAATTCGATATCCTCGAGAATCTTGGTGCGAGATTAATGATCTTATTATATCTTATTTTTAAAATAATAATAACGATAATAATATTAATAATAATAATAATAATGATAATAATAATAATAATAATGCGCCGATTGAATCGTGCCGTCGACTACCGAATAGTATCTTTCTTTCTTTCTTTTTTTTCTTTTCATTTTCCTTTTTTTTTTTTTTTCGATGAAAGCGAGTAAATTAACAAAAACAAAACATAAAGAAAAAGGAAAGAAGAAGAAAATAAATAACACGAGGAATGAAGTTCCCGAAATGCGTCCTATTATTGATGTACATATGTCACTTATACGTGACCAATCGTAAAAAATCTTACACTATGAAGTCGTCGACGAATTATATATATATATAATATATGTGACAAAGAAAAGAAATAATTCATATTGAGTCGATCGTTTTGATAAAATCTCTGTACATATATCTATTTGTCTCTCTCTCTCTTTTTCTCTCTCTGTTTGTATTTCTCTTTTTTTCTCTCTCTCTCTCTCTCTCTCTATCTCTTTTTCTTTACTACATATGTATATCGAATTTGAGCAATTCTTAGCTCGATCATGTACGTTGTACGTAAATTTTTTTCTGTTCTTTTTTTTTTTTTTTTGTTTTTTTTTTTTTTATACTATACTATACTATACTATATTTAATTAATTAACGTAATATCTATGTCACGCTGTGATAACGAACGAGAAAGAAACAATTAAATTATATATATATATATATGTACATACACACAACATAAACACGTACATACGGAGCGTAAATACGCACACGCACAAACACACGCACATACAGGTTTATTTTACGATTCATAGAATCGAACTGATTTTTAAAACGATCAATTATAATCCGATGTGTATAATGTGAGTCGTACGATATTGATAATGTTATAATATATTAGAATTCATTGTGTATATTGTTAATTAAATATGTTTCGAATAAATGAAAAAAAAAGAAATAAAAAAAAAAAACAAGAAATAAGAAAAGAGAGTTTGGAATAATATTTAACGAAAAAAAACAAAAAAAAAAGAAAAAGACAAAGAAAAAAAAAGGAGTGAAGAAAAAAGGAAGTCTTTCTTCATTACTTTCTTCTATTCGTTCTCTTTCGATGAAATTAATTCATTTAAAATACGCGCCAGAAATGAGTGAGATATCGATTGGTTCATCGTTCCGTTCGACAGATGGCGCCTGTTATTGGCAACCAATCGTATGGATCGTACAAGAGGGTTGGTCGGTCCACCCTCGTATGAGTTCCAAGGGATAGAGAGGACAGATTACGAAGGAAAAGGCACAAGTGCGATTAAATAGATACATTTCAAGAAAGAGGAGTTAAATTGAGACATATTGAATTTTTCACTTTCTTCTTCTTCTACTTCTTCTTCTTCTTCTTCTTCTTCTTCTTCTTCTTCTTCCATCTTTTTTTCTTCTTCTATATCAAACCGGACGCATCTAAAACGTAAGATATACATATATATATATATGTATATAAAAAATATATATATATATATATATATTTATATATTAGTCTAACGTTTGACTGGATAAATTATTATTTTAGACATCGAACGCACGTGGCAGAATCGGCTCTCGTTCATCCTCCTCTCTGTTCCTTCTGTGAAAGTGTCATCATCACATTCTTCTTCTTCTATTACAACTACTACAACAACAACAACAACTACTACTACTACTGCATTCTTCTTTTTCTTCTTCTTCTTCCTCCTCTACTACTACATTCTTCTTCTTCTTCTATTTCTACTTCTATTTCTACTTCTACACTTCTTTTTATATTCTACGTGAGCTACGTGATAATCCTAAACGTAAGTTGCGATTCTTGTATAAAATCATGATGCGTGCTCAATAAAGTTCCAGTAATAAAATTGAAAGAGATTAGATGACAACGATAACGAGAATAATCGTTTCAATCGATTCATTTTATGCACCTTAGAGAGCTCTTTTCGTAGTGGAGAAAGAGAAAAAAAGAAGAGAGAAAGAGAGAGAGAGAGAGAGAGAGAGAGAGAGAGAGAGGGAGAGGGAGAGACTCGATGGCACCAATGATGCTTTAGAATCACAGGAATACTACATATCTAAGGCACGCTATGCACATGCACATATGCACATTATATTATATACATGTTATACATATATACACATTACATTCTTACATTAGATGTATTACCTTCCCTCTCTACGATATCGTTCAAGGCCTATCAATACAATTTCGTCGAAATTATTTCTCTTCGTCAGAATATAATTTTTAAATTTATCGTCCTACATAATCACCCGGATAATACGTATATGATACACATACACATACATATATATATATATATATATATATATATATATAGATATGTATGTATGATAATCATTAATTTTTAATATCCTCGAAATAATCCTTCGAAGATTTAGTTACCCTATCATTTCGATTCGCTCATCATCGATGAACGTGCCAACCTTTCTCTTTCTGTTTTCATGGTAGAACGTCAAAATCAATAGGTTTCCTTTCGAACCCGTTGTTGCCCGTGAACACCCATACGTCGTCGTAACGCACCATTTCAACCCTTTATTATGTCATTGAAGACTGCTCTTCATGAGTTGAATCATAATGCATGAACTATATAATATAATATGTATCTGTGAATGTACGTATTGTGCATACGTATATGTGTGTATGTGTGTGTGTGTGTGAGTATATATATATATATATATATATATATGTTTGTGTATGTTAAGTTCAGTAGCTTTACGAATGTGGGCGCGCGTGCGTACATAGTTGCATATGTATGCGTTATGTATATGTCTCTCTCTCTCTTTCTGTGTATGTGTGTGTGTGTGTGGGTCTGTTTGAGTGTGTAAGTAAATGTATTTAAACGAAAATTATTTTCTATTTGAATCTATTGAAAGGGAAAAGGGCGGGTCGGAGCGAGAAGAGGAGAAATAAGAGAAATAATTCTTTTTCCTTTTCTTTTTTTTTTTTTTTTTTTCTCTTCTAAATATATCTTAGATAATCATTTAAAATTTATTTATCTCATAAGGAATGCAAACAATTCATTCGTTTGAGTTTTGAACACCGTCAATTGGCTTCTTCTATGTACTACGGTTTATTTCTTTTTTTTTTTTTTTTTCTTTTTTTCTTTTTTTTTTTTGCCTTTCATTTTCTATTCTCGTGTTTGAAAGGATTCGTTGAAATATATACATATATATATATATATATATATATATATATATATACATACATACATACATACATATGTATATACAAGGAGAGAGAGAGAGAGAGAGAGAAAGAGAGAGAGAAAGATATATATATATATAGAAGTATATGTATATATGTGTATCTTCGATAATTGTCGTCAGGATTTAACAGTGTCTCGGGTGTTAAACGATGTCTAAAAATCTCTTCCGATCGCATACATTTAACGGAAGGCGTTGGAAGTGAGTTTAGTTTAAATCACGTGATCCGCTATACAAGCGAGAGTACCTCGTAGGAAATTAAAGTGTACGTGGTATAGTTGTGGGGCAGTCGCTAGACATCCTCTGTCGCCGACGCATTAGCGTTAGGAAGTTGCCTCTTAAAGATCGAGTTATAAACGGGTGTATCCGACGAGTTATAACAAATTTATTGTATCTGCGGATGTGTTTCATTTGGTAAGTCGACGCGCGCGAGAGAGAGAGAGAGAGAGAGAGAGAGAGAGAGAAAGATATAGAGTAAGGGAAACGGTATATATAAAAGGAGATAACGCAAGAAGTAAAGGACTAAGACTATATGAGAAAATAATTCGACTATGTTAAGATTTTAACATGATCGGGAAAAATTAAAAAGGAAAGGAGAAAAAGGAAGAGGAAAAAGGTAAAAGAGAGAAAAACAAAAAAAAAACAAAAAAATAAAAAGATCAAACGGAAATAAATATAAAAAGGAGATAGGAGATACTGCGAGTGCGTTGAATGAAGAAATATGAACTTCGTTGAAATTGGGTCGAATTTTGTGAAATTAAGAAAAGAAAAAAATAAAAAGAAAAATGGACTGAAAAGAGATAAAGTTCTCTCGAGATTTACTGTGATAGTAAAAGAGGACCAAAAAAACAAAAATAGAAAGGAAAATAACAGAAGAGAGAGAGAGAGAAAGAGAGAGAGAGGGAGGGAGGGAGAGAGAGATAGAGAAAGAAAAAAGAAAAAGACATACAACACTTTTGCAAAGATCTAAAGGATCCAAGGGATCATCGATCCAACGTTTACATTGAACCAGGCGTGTAAATATACAATCAAAAACTGTTATTTTCATTTGGAATAAGACGTTCCTAGAAATGAAGTAAAATAATGTACAACAATATCAATCGTTTGCGCACCGAGTATAGGATAGTTATACTTTATAACGAATCGTCAATATAAACGCGATACCAATTGAATCAAATAAACGGTTCAACAATTGCATAACGGTTCTCTCTTCTATCGATCTTAATACCATTGCTTACTTCATCGCATTGAATGCAAAATAGGGGTCACTTAATTAACGTTTGACCATACTACTTAAATCGTTGCTTTCGCGAGAAATCATGAAGCAAAACGAAAGAATCAACCAGATATTACGTTAATTAGAATAAATTCTTATTTGAGAGAGAGATAGAGAGAGAGAGAGAGTGAGAGTTTAGATATCACGATCGAGTTTAATTAAGATCTATTTTTTATCGATCCTATCTGCAGTGTGAATCGTTGTTGTTTTATTTTTCTTTTTCTTTTTTTTATCGTACCAATTTATAG